TAAATATAATTGCTACAAATAATCGGATCCACAAGCGAAGTGTGTGTAGGATTTTCTTCACTTCTATTTATATAATTATTTTACCGATTTTCATTGGTCCGAACCGAGGGTAACCAAGATACCGTTGACTCGCGCATGCGCAAATGCGTTGTTTATGCGTGTTTACCGGATCATGGTTCTGTGTACAGAACGACATTTTGCAAACGAAAGCATCAGCATATTTTGATTTTAAAATACACGTTTACAACCTTACCCATTCGGTAAAAGCCAGAAATTCAAGGTAAGTATACTAAAAAAATGACCTTAATTTAGCAACATGCAATCGGTGATAGTTGAAATTATTCAGTTCGGACGTCAGTACTGTCACTGTGTTGCCTTGATGATTGATCGTGCGTGTGGATTGTTTGTGAGTTTATGTTTAGCTTATGCCTTATGCGGAGAATTACATAAGTTTCTACTATTAGTCTTTATATTTACCAATCAAGTGAATTGTTAAATTATATGAATCCTAAGCCTATTTATTTATAGTTGTCTAACAAAACAACATTGATAAATAATCGAGTAGTTCAAAGTAATAGCATAGGCTAAGACTAAGGCTAGGACTAAAACAACAACGCAATATGCCGTAATACTACTATAATTATGGCATGGTATTAGCATTAGCAGTATGGGGAAAATAATTCGTATTAGAATCTTTTAACTCAAATAGTTTAATCTTAGCCTTATTCATTTTTTTTATCTGCATACAATTATTAATAGTAATAGCTAATTAGTTTTATATTATTTCTTATTTATAAGATCAGTTCAATTGACTAATAATAGTAATTATAATAAAATAAGTATTTAGTTTAGCAATCCTAAACATCTAAATAATACTAATAGGCTTATTGAGATCATTTTCAATATATTATTTGCTAAATAATGTTTATATAATTTTTTAATTCCATTCCAGCCCCCAATTAGTTCTACCGAGCCGAGCAAAAGTAAATTCTTCAGTGACAAGAATTCTACAGAGGGACTGCTAAACATTGATTTCGAAATGATCATAATTCAAAGCTTTTACCAATTTTCTTCTGTCTGCAGTGGAATGGACGAATTGCAGAAGCCATAACTTACAGCTGATTGCAAAACAAAATAGTAAATACTATGAACATAACAATGACTAGATTGTGAGTGGTTAGATTGTTCATATCAACAACTGGATAACCAAGTCATTATCAATTATAGACTCTAAGGCCTGAAGGACAATGGCATGGACTATGAAAAGTTGCAATCTATGATATCTGCGATAAACAATCCAGCTGCACCGCAAAATTTATAACCTGCGCAAAGTATAAAAACTGCGCTATGCCGAAGACATGAAACATTTATGAGCAAGTATCTTCCCAATTATTACATTTCTAATAGACAAATAACTCATTCACCTCTGGTATGAGGGACATCTTTGATGAAAGAAGTACACAGAATAGGTACAAAAGTTTCAACATAGCATTGCTGCCATGAAACTATGCTTTAATTTCAGTGATGGTGACAGCAACATAACCTTGTCATCTAAGCATGGTTAAAAGGATCATGGACAAAAGGGTTGATTGGGGACTTTGGATAACTTGTGTTATATTATAATGCTGAACAAAAAATTCTAATACAACACAAATTAGCTTTATTCCAGAGGAAAAAAATTTTTTGTTTAAAATTGTGATTTTGACGAGAGCACCTGATGAAGTTCAAGAAGTTAAAACCCATGTTCCTGGTGCATTCAACAGTTCAATAATATAAGAAACCACCATGTCCATGTTGCTGAACAAAAAAAACTATGTAAAAGAACTTCATTTTCATATTAAACTTAAAATTTTTCACTTTTAAAGTTTAAAATTGATTTTTCTCAAAATTGTTTTTTTCTGTTGTTTTGTAACGTAGAATTCTAAAATCTCAGCTAATATACAAGCTAGAGTAATAAAATTTGGTGTGTATCTTCCTTTAACTATTTTGTGGGTAATGAGCTATTCAAAAATCAATTTGGTCAATTACTTTTGTTAAAATAATTTTTTTCATATCCTAGGATGGTAAATTTTAAGCGTTTTCTGCCGAGGCAAATTTTAAAAATTAAAAAAAAAATGTTTTGAAAAGTTTTAAGGAAATTAAACTAGCTCAGTACCTCTAAATATAATTGAAGTTCATGAATCAATCAATTTTTAAGCAATATGTATGTTTGTTTTTAAAATTTTAGAACTCTACGAATGGGTATTATTTTCAAGATGGCCGCCGTTGCCATGGCAACTATATAATTTTTTTTTATTTTAAAGCATGAAAATATATCTCCATTCATAGCTTAACATGACCATAATAAAATAATTGTTCTAGGTTGGTTAATTAAAAAAAAATTTTTTTTCGTAGCCTGCCCCCTTAAGGGTAACATTTATTACCCTTAATAAAAATTTGTCCTCGTGTCACTTTTGGTGTCTAAAGCACCACGAGAAAGAGTTGTGTTACTTTAGTACCTTATAAAGAAATGCTATATGGGTAATATCCGAAGGAATAAAAAAATCTGGTTAGTCACAGGAATCTCGTTTTAAATACATATGCTAGCCATGTTATTGTAGTATAACACAAAATTGTTTACAATCACATAATTAACTTTGTTACTAATAACAAATAAATAACTCATTTCAAGCTTGATCTCATATTTTAAGTACTTATGTGTTTTAGAGGTACTTAAATGAAAAAAACATGTCAGTGGCTAGGAAAAATAATGTCTATATATATATATATATATATATATATATATATATATATATGTATATACAAATATATATCTCTTTTATATATATTTAAAAAAACATGTGAGTGTCTAGAAAAAATAATGTCTATATATATATATATATATATATATATATATATATATATATATGGAGATGCAAAAATATAGCACTTTTCTAGATATTTTCTACATTTAATGCTCTGCGATGATCCGAAAATTGTACGTTTTAAAGATAAATTTCTAAATTAAAATCAAAAGAAATTCACATAAAAGTTTAAATCTTTCATTCTTTATTATAGAGACATGATATAACTTAAAACTGAACAAGGTAATCAGCCTTTTTTTTTATTTTAGTGGTACAGATTTAAATCATATATTTTTTTTCTCTCCTTCAGGGATGAAGGTACACCTGACAAGAAAGATGGCTTAAGACACCGTAACACGGTCTCCAACAATACCACAGCTTAAAAAGAATCCATTAATTGTGTTCTGAGAAAGTTTTGTCATCAACTCACTGAATTTTTTAAACTAATTTTATTGTATCAAATTTAAATGGTATTACATTACATACATTTGCATAATCTGAAAAGAAGTAATTGGTAGGAAAAATTTTTCCTAAGTGCACTTTAGTGAGTTTATTTTTTAAATGACTAATGACCTTAAATGTTCTGATATTTTGTTTGTATGCATTAAAATAATTTGGTTTTAGAATAGCTTTAAACCTGAAAAATAATTTTTTTTATATAATGTCATCTATTAATTGTGAAAAAATTAACATGAGTCTCCTTAATTGTTTCAATTTTTTTTTTACATTAAAGTATTATATGCTATATCTCAATTCAGTTTTGCTAACCCTTATTTTTAATTTAGAAAGTCAGAGTTTGACACTCTAAATTTATACTTTAATTAAATTTAAATGGATATTTTTCTTATTCTCAATTTTTTTCTCTAACCTGAAATCCATTGCTTACTTTTCCTTGCAGGCTACAATATTTCTGCATAATTCTAAGTTAATAAACCAATGTCAGGCTTATTTTTCAGACAGAGGAATGAGATAAAAAAATTCTCAATGAATGCTTCAATGAGTTGAAGATTCAAAGGCGGAACAATTCTAAGTTTGCATTTGTGTGACTTGTAGGTGAAACTAGCTACAGTTGTTTTTAAAATCATTTTTCTTTCTCATAATCTATTTTATTCTTCAGCGCCATTTTTCTTTCTCAGAATGAATGATTAGGAACTAATAATGATTGAATGTTTTTTTTCTCTCTTAAAGTTGCTTTGTGGACAAGATAATTGTGCTTTGTTGGTTATTTTAGCTATCATACTGAAACTTATTACATTAGTAAAGGATTGGTTTGTTTCTATTACATTAGTAAAGGATTGGTTTATTAACCATATAAAAGCGATACTGCTAGCAAGTAGTTATGAATGTATTGCTTTTATATTACTTAAGTATGGATCACTTTGTCAATTTTAGAATGGATTGTCAATATCTATGATAGCATCCAAGTGAAATACTTCATAGATAGTGTTTCTATAGTGGAATAATTTACTGTATTCTCATTTATGAAAGAGATAACCTTAATATTATATTCTATTGTTCCTGGCTTATACAAACCTGGTCAGGCGTAACCAAATTTATATTGTGATGACCCCCGTGATACACTGGATGAATGAAGATTTGTATATGCTTGCATACCCAAGATTCAGCAGTATTGGCTATGCTTTTTAAATTTGTATGAATATACAAACAATTACAATAGAAATTATGTATTGCGTGTCAAGTAACATAATTTAAATGTTTTTATTGAATTTACTAATCTTATATATATAGTATACTTTTTGTATGTCCTCCTTACTTCTTTGAAACAATGAACACTGTATGTAAGTTGTCTTTTACCATAAGTTTTATTAAGTTTGTACGTAATGCAAGTTGTGAGTGCTTTTTAAACATTTTTGTTCTTGCTACTATGTTCTGATTGAAGTTTCAAAATAAATGTGTAACTGTGAGCTTTACATTCCAAGTTTCTAAGGGCATTGTAACTGAAAAACACTAATTATATATCCAGTTTCTCTAGGAACATTAAGAAAGGTACCGGGTACTAATATAAATGAAACAAATGATTTGTGATGTTACATTTTTGAAAATTTGGTCACACAGAGCAGTTCTTGGCATATGCTTCAAATTAAAAGATACTGGTTACAGTACCCTAACTAGCATTTGCAAATTTTTTTTGAAAAAAAGGAAAACCTTCTTTCCCATTGTGAAGAATATCTATTATTTTTTAGTTTACACAAAAATAAAAATTACATTGTAATGTATCGACTCACAAATTCCATTTTCTGTAGTTTGAAAGATTTTTCCAATAAAATATCTCACAAAGTTTATCTGTTTTTTTTTGTATATGTAGAAAGGTAACAAATTAAAGAACTTAAAAACATTTAATGTAATCCAAATTTTATTGTTTAAATAGTAATTTAACATAAAATTAAATATACACAGAATTAATCATAAATATTTCTCTTGGTGTGTGTTTGCATTGTTAAATAGGTGCACAATGAAATCCCAAATGTTAGGACTAATCAAGATTCTTAAGTTAAAAAGAGCATTTGAATGCATGTTATGTCAAGTATGGGTAACTTTAGATGAGAAGTTCAGAGATGTAGCCGCCACATTGTTATTTCTAACTTAAATTAAAAAGTATTTTCACAATATTAACTATTCAAGCTTTTGTAATATTGTTAGCTTATTGTCCATTTATTTCATAACGACTATCCGTTTTGGCTGTTCAGATAACAGTGGACATTGGTATACAATGTTAAATGTTCAGTAAAGGGTGAGATTCTAACATTCATTAGAACTTGGCTTGGAATTTGTCATTGGTAGAATTGGGGATGCTCTCTCCTAACCCTAACACAATTTTTATGACAACACTAAAAATGCTCAATTAGATTTAGATTTAAAAAATTTAATATTTTTCTGTCTTTTCTTGATTCTTTTTGTTTTTCATGTTAAAAAAAAAGTACAAGTTAAAAAAAAAAATTGCTCTTTGATAAACCTTTCAATATATTGGGACTTAATTTTTGCATTGCTGCATTTAGGAGTACTTAATTCGAGAGTCAGTGAGACAGAAACTATCAAAGTTCACATTGGTCATCTTGGATAGTCAAGTGCTGCTGTAGAGTACAATCCCATAGTTACACCTTCACTGACAATGTTTGGCAGTGAACCTGAAAAGAGAGTTATAGTTGAATTCATTTTCAACTTTTTTTAGAAATTTGTTTATAGAAATTAGTGGTCTCAAATATTTGATAATAAGAGAATACAAAAGTGCATTAACACTGAAGACCATAATAATGTAAGTTACAGCAACATCTCTTTAATTTTTCAAGGGTGAGTCCATTAGAGGCCATGCATATTGAACAAAGGTAAAACAAGTTACATTTGTGATAATTTTTTTTGGATGCCCCTCCATGAACAATGAGCTTTTGATATCCGATGTATGAGCCATTTTTAAATTGACAAATTGGGTTGTGTACTATGATAGTGATACTATTTTAACAGGATGTTAAAACCACCATGACAACAGTAACTCCCTGAAGTACCAATATCTTTTCAGTTAATATACTATATCATGCTTAAAGATTGTGTGGCGAATGGTATGTTGTCTAGGAGTAAGTCCCCTCAATTTGGCCACAAAAAACAATGTAAGAGTCTTTTGCTGTCACAAGGCTGAGGTGTAGTGTGAAATCAAGTGATCACCAGTTAAAAGCTCAAATTTATTTATTAATATACTGTGTGAAGCACACTTCATAAAATGCCTTCTAAGTTATTACCTAGTACTGGCATTCACAAAAACTACACAGATGGTCAAAAAGAATCTCCTACAACAAATACTAAGATTCTCTCCTAGCGAAATTATTAAATTGCTCCTATTATCTGTCACTCCTATCAACAATAGTAGTCTCTGCTATAAAAAAAATAATATTCACCGACACACAAAAATGTACACACCCTTTATATCAATGGTTTAAATCAACACTCAGCGGATATGTGGCTGAGTTAAATTTGTGATTAAAGTGAAAATATAAGGAAAAAATACTATCCTTCACTCACAAAATATCCCAAACATCAGCGCATGCCACAGCATAACCGATCACGTCATTTGATTGTGACAATCTGCATACATGTTTTATTTATTTTTACTCAACACTTTTTAAAATTTATTTTTTAAATGTATTTACTATTTTGAAATGTGCTTGTAAGTGTCAGAATTTAACACAGGGTGCCTGGTGAAAACCTAAATTTGGCAAGGGCGCCAGGAAATTGAAAAAAATCTAGAACCACTGGCGTAGCCGACCAAAATACATTTGTGAATAAATGTACGTACATATTCAAATTTCTAAATTCATCAAGGGTTGCCCTCTTAGAGCTGTCGTACCATATGGATAGCCCCTTACAATATATTTAATATAGGGACTCCAGATCCACATTTGAATTACTTTGACCAGAGTCACTATGCTGACTCCAACCCTGGTATTCTGAAATATATTGGCTCCCAGTGGTAGTTCCATTAACACTGATTAATGCTCGAGTTACATAATAATAATATAGTTGCATAGTAATGATAATGAAAAAAATTAACTTAATCTTCAATTAAAAGCACTTACATTGCAGTTGCACTCTTGGATTAAAATATCAATGATTTAAACAAGAAAAGGACCACTATTTCATTTGAACTTTATCTGTGTTCAATAATATCATTGTATTGTTAACATTACTTTCCTTTTATTATCATTGAGTAAAAGCCAGTGTTTATTATATCCTGAAGCCGGTATTTAATTACCCAGAAGCCCATGTTTACTGTACCCAGAAGCCTGTGTTTATTGATATTGTACCCAGAAGACGATGTTTATTGTACCCAGAAGCCATGTTTTTTTTTGTTTTTTTTTTGCGAGTTGTGATTGAAGATCTAAGCATGATCCTGTGTCGTTGTGTTAGCTTTCTTGTTAGACTTTGTGTTAGATATATTATCAAAAAATAAAATAGTCTGCTCACCTTTGTTACTTTTTTGAAGATAAGAACTTGCATCTATAGTTATTACTGCTTGATGTGAAGTCTTTTGCTCTTCATCACCTTTTAGGTAATTCCTGAAGGTCATTTATTAAAAAAAAAAAATTAGATACAAATGATTCTGACTGCAGATTAGGAAAACATGGAGAACATCCAAAAAAGCTATATTTATATGTCAGGTCAGATGTCAAATATAAAATGTGAAACTTCTTGACAATTATGCAATAATTGTTGATTGCTGTATCCGTGGAGATATAATTTACTAATGAAAAAAAAAACATGAATGGGATGACTGGCAAATAAAGTTTGAAAGGGACTGAACATAATCTTCTTAGTAAATAGTTGTTAGTATAGAAATTCAAATCGTTTATAGTTGTCTACACTGCAAGGTTTGAGATATAAATCATAAAGGCTATATTATTAGCAAATGAAATTATGGTGCTTACTCCATGGAATGATCTAACATGTCAGTTTCTAGAAACAAGAGGAGCACATTGGGTGTTGGTTCATGCTCTAGGACCCCCTGTGGGAATGAAATGGTACTGATCAAATAAATGCAGTAGATTTTTTTTTTCTTATATGAAATTTTACTTTTAAAAACTATAATTAAAGTTTTTTTTAAACTTCAAAACCAATTAACATATTATTTCTCCTCTTTAAATACCGGTACGAGTAAAAAAATGATGGACAGAGAAGACAATATATAATAATTTCCAACTGAATATTCATTAAAACAGAAAAGTTGATAAATATATATTATTATTTTGTTAGCTTGTAATATTAACAGTACTGAATTCATTTTGCAATAATTAAACATTAATTATTTCATCATGCTGATGTCGGTGAGATTTAGACTTAAACAAAATGATCCTAAACATCTCTTAGACTTAGAGAATTAATATTTAGGCGATGCTCCATAAAACATATTTAAGAAATCCATTAACTCTAACTTGAAAATAAGTATCAAGTCCAAGTCGACGTTGTTCTAGAACTTTCGTATTCCATTTCAAAACTTTCTTTGGTGGAAATTCTGGTGTTTTTATAATCTTTTTAAGCTGAAAAAAAAAATTACCATTATAATTGTAAATTGACAATATTGACAGCAGATGAGACCAAAAAAAAGGCACAAAAACCCAGACATAAACTCACACTCACACACTTCCTAAAATTAATATGCAATCTATGGTAGGCTGCTTTACTAAAATTAAAACTAATATTGACATTTCTTTCTACATGTTTTTTCCTTACTTGTTTATGAAGTTCTTCAAACTCAGAATAGCGTTTCTCAATGACATGGTGTCGTCCAGCAATCCATACATCAACTGAAAAAGCCTGAGAAAGGATAGAAAGTAATTTATAAAGTTACAAGTAAAAGTATGATTCATTTACTCCTTTCACCTTTGTTTTCATAATCATCATGCTCTCCTCATTGAGTCACAATAACTATTTAATAAAGAATTACTTATTTTTGTCACACTTAAGCAAGGGAAAAAGTGTGAGATATCAAGGAATGCTATGTCTTAGTAGTCTAAGTTTAACCTAGTTATTTAGTTTTATTGCAATTGTATTTGTTGTAACTGAACATGAATGAAAATGAATTTTAAAAAATAAATTTATGCAAAATTAATATTATAAAAGAGAACATAATAAAAATGGTGAGGTTAAGTATGTTAAAGTTAAGGCAAGGTGAGAAAAAGGTGATCAGTGATATTGTTATCTTAGTAATTCTTTAGTCTTAGAATGAATCCCAGGTCACGTCAACGTTAGTGGTAATGAGAAAGTGGACAATCTGGACAACCCCGGAGCTGCCCAGCCTCAACCAGAAGTACCAATAACTTATTTGGGAATAAAGAACTGGCTAGGGACCACTTCAGGACAAAGTGGTACAGGCAATGGGCAGACAACACGACCCCAGAGGCGTATTTCCAAATTTGCCCACTTTTAACAAACAAGACCCATGGTGGGGGTTAAGCTGCTGACAGCAGAGCTTAGTGACGCTAATGCGCACCGAGCATTGCCCCATGCCATAGTGGCACATTCTTCCGCCGACTGGACAACAACAGGGATCCTACGCCTACACCTGCCCGCATTGCAACCTGGTCCCGGAGACATTAGCACACCTGTTGACCCAAGTCCCTCACTAGATGTCCCGGGAGACGCCAGGGTGTTTGGAGAGCCCTTTGTGAGGAAAATGTTATTTGGCTCAGGCTCAGCAGCAGATGGAGTTGTTGATAAGTCAATTTACTAGCGGGAGGGGGGGGGAGGGGGGGGCTCATAAGAGAGTTATCTCAGACCTTCCCTAGAATATTTGTGTTAGTAACATTAAAAAAAAATTGTATCTGGTTAGTTAACATCACCATTATAAGCCAACAGTCTGATGTAAAATTTCTTTTAACTTAATGATTAACTAACTTAGAGTTGGACTAGTAAAAGTAAGTGGGGTGAAGGGTGGAGGCGGCCTATAAATAATTTTATAATGAAATGATTAATTCTAATAATTAATAATTACAAATAAAAATTTGAAAGAAAGCACTTTACGGTGTAAACATCATCTCCCTCTTTTACTTTTCTGAAACTTGGTATATTAACCCTAATAACCATTCCAAAGAAATCTGAATAAGAAAAATAAATTAGGTAAATTCAGATATATCAATCTCATTCTGTCAAGGCAAGGCCAAGGGTTTGTTTATATTCACTGTGAGTCTGTGAGTCTGTGAGTCATGACCATGTCTAAAGTGGGGCGTGAAACTGAAATATTGTAAGGGATTAAAAGATCAAGACTGATAAATATTATTTTTTGTACTCAGGATATTTAATTTTATAAACATTTTATAATAAAATTTAAGTAACTTTAAAAAAAAACTTATTTTTAATTAATAACTAATTTTCTTTTGAAAATGTTTACTAAAATTCTATCCAGTCCCATCGAAACCGATATTGTTTACAAAGATGGCTGGTGAAGAATCTGATCCTGAAATTCGTGCACCGGCTTCATATACGTTTGTACGTGTTTTGGGTAGAGGAGCATTTGGAGAAGCCACACTGTATCAAAAAACTGAGGTAATAATATGATTTACATATAAATCAAGAACAGGGGGTAGAAAACGTTTTTTTCAGTTATGAACTGCAACGAAAAGATTCGTATTTGAATTTGGCTTACTAAAAATTACGGAATTAAAAATTTAATTATTGACAATTCATTAGGGGTCGTCCATTAATGACGTCACAATTTTTAAAGCAAATTTTAAACCCCCCCCCCCGCCTTGTCAACAACTGTCAAACTTTCAATGACCCCCCTTCTATTTAATTACGTCAACATTTTCTACCCCCACCCCCTAAAAGAAATATTAGAAATAAATTTATAAATACATTTTACTTTGTGCTGATCTATTTTAACGACAATAAAATTGTAGGAAAAACATTTCATTTCATCTTTAGCTTGTTAATCAACAAGTTAAAAAGTTTTTACACTTAAATTTTATAATGCTATGCAAATCAATTGCAAGGTTGTTAAAGACTAAATATCATTGTTTGTGTTATGAATATGATTATTGTCAGTAAAGTTGACAATTATAGTATAGTTTCTAGCAGCTATAATCTTCCCAAGAAGTAGCCAGGTTTGCTCTATCATAACAATGGACATTAGGGACATCCTTCGCGGCTGCGCGGCCGCGCAGCTATCTCACAGACGCAGCAGTATTGAGTACATTCCAATGTAAGTGGGTGTTTGTCTTTGTGGACTGTAAAATTTTGCACACAAAAAAATTGATGCTGTAAAACTTTTCACACAACTGTATGATTTTGCTCATGAACCAACAAACCTTAGAGGGAACATTGATCCCCATCTAACCATTCAGCACTTATAATAGAAGAAGCATTGTCGGTGTGAGCAATAATTGCCATAAGCTCTATCTATCTCCTTGCAGCTACTTGCATTGGTTGAATACTTTTTTGTTAAGGAACAGGTGTAATTTTGTATGCTCAAGAGGGCATTGTCGGTTCTGTTGAACATGCTTTGTCAACATGACTTGCTTTGTCAACATGACTTGTTGTGCAAAATAGATGTTACAGATTTTGCAAATCTGTTCAAGCAGCGATGTCATTATTGTTACTCACTTTAAATTCACTTAATTCTCAAAATATCGTATTCCTAATCTATCAATATCATTTATCTTGACTGCACATGACACTTGAACATTGTCTTTGTTCCATACCTGCAAAAGAAGCTACAGGTGGAGAGAGGCCAAATTTTGACTTCTCTTGCACTAACAAAGTGTGCTAACATTCTGACGAAGCCATCTGCAGTGCACAGAAACACATTAAATAAATATTATATTGTTAAAAGCATACAAATTATTAACTAATTACACTCATTTACATTTATAAAGTTTAAAAAAATAATTTAATAACCAGTCAATTTTTAAGATTAAAATTTTAATAGTTGAAACAAGATTGTTGACGTCAACTAATCTAAACCCCCTTCCCTCCCCCTTGTCAACAACTGTCAAACATTTCCAGACCCCCTCCCCCTCTATTTTGTTGATGTAATTAAGGGACGCCCCCTTATTCTGAGTAATCATTTCAATTTAATTCCAGTTTGTAGTTTGGTTTTTATTAATTGAATAGTGTTGTTGGCATCCTTCTGTCTTCACGAGAGAGGGGTGTATCTTCTGTATTATTTTCATTTCCTTTCTTGATTCTTTAGAATGCCCTAATTATAAATTTGTAATTATTCTGGCTATTTCAGCTGCACTGCTATTTTTCTTGGGCCTTCAAACAGAAGTTCTGCATGTGGCTTTTTGATACAAGGGCTTTGTTTCATTCATCCTCTGCTTGTTGAATGACCAATTTCACTGTTGTCTGCCAGTTTGAATGGTGATCAGCAATAATTTCCTTTAACCAATTTGATGTCGGCTTCCATCATTTATCTTTCACACATATCTTTATAATTTATAGTGCAGCAGTCCAAGATGTCTTGCCCCCTTTGCCAATTCCATATACAGCAAGTCCTTTGCCATTAGAATGCAGCCTTTTGCTCTTCTATACATGATCTAACCAGCGAAGCCAGCTCTAGAGTGGTGAACATGCTGCACATTTTGACAGGTTCAACAACCCATGTGTTGACTATTAAATAATATAATTAATATAATATAATTATATAATAATACTAAGGTTTGATTGTTATTTATTTATACTAGGTTGGTTTAGTAGTCTGAGACTGAATTGATATCAACACTGTCTCCTATTCTGATATCATTATAATGTCTTCTGTTTCTATTATAATTATAACTTGTCCCAATGATTTTGACCTGAGTGGATATTAGATAGTGTTTAAATGCTAATTTCTCACAAGCCTGTGTGTAATACAATAAAGTCCAAATTTTCACATTTTAATTATTTATTTACATAAAAATTTCACAGGATAATAAAATTCACATATGACGAATATTGATTAAATACAGTTCATAATAAATTGATTACTCTTTAGATAATAAGTCACTCATACATTGTATCCTTCTTAATACGTAAGAGAAAATCTTATTAACTACTTGTTCATGCTTTCCAATATGGCCACCAATATAGTTTCTTCCTTTTTATAATTAGAATTCATGTATCCATACTCTCGTCTCATGAAATGGTGATTTCTACTAAAAAGTGAATGAACAGCAAATATCATTGTGTAACACTGTCTAAGTGTGTTACTGATACAAAAACTTTAAGATTAGATAAGATGCTTTTATTGATCCAAATAAATAGAAATTTGTTTTGATTACATTTTACAGATTGTTTTGAGTCTTGAAAGTCTTTTTCTTAGTTTTTGTTGATCTGTAGCAAGATGTTGGGATAATACTATGTGGTCTGAATAACTGTTTGGTTCTTGAGGATATGTTGGCACTTAAAACAGAGTCTTGGCTTTTTGTTCAATTGGAGTTCTCTGCTTTTTTCTATGATCATTGTTATAGAGAGCTTGTTTTTCTCGTGCGTGCCCTCTGATTGACCCCGCATGAGACGCTGTGTTCACAAAGGGGTGTGGCTTAGGTCTTTGAAGTGGCTTGTTTACAGTCGGCTTCCAATTACGCATTGGGTAGATTGTTTTCGGGTAATTTCTGGAATATACTCCTTAACCCGAGAGATGTAAACAACACGTCATAAGCCCTTCTCGAAGCATCTTACTCTACATATATATAAGAGATTGACAGGCACGAGGGGACGGAGATTTTTCACATAGATTTTCTTAACATTACGAGGCGTGTTTTATTCTTTGTGTATTTGTGTGCTCCTACTTATATGTGTTTATTCCGCATTATTTATTGGCATCATTATTTCTAATTGTATTAAGTGTGTACCGGTACGACATCTGCCATACTGTAAGTTGAAGATTGTAATTTTATTTTATTTTATTTTGTAATTATCTTTAGACATAATAAATCTTAATTAATTGTAACTAGAAACTGTTTTGGGTCGTATCTTTAATAATTGTTGATTCTATGGTATCGTCCTTTGTTAGGCACTGTTTACAACGAGCCAATTAAAATTAAAATAGGAGATTAATTTCTCCCAATACAAGTCAGTGCGTAACAAATTGGGTTGCTCGTCCCGGATATAGCGGACTCTATATTATTATTTTTCTCAAGACCCCAATTCTAACAAATTGGGGGCATCGTCCGCGATAACCGAATCCATATTTTATTCTCATTAGACCCCAATTTTAACAAATTGTGGGATTTTCCGAGGATAATTTTAATCCATAGTTTTTAATACACCAATAATAAATTGAGCGTTTTTTCTGTGGATTTTGACAAACTGTTTACCTTAATACACTCAAACTAATTTGAGTTCACGATACCATTTTACGACACCAACAACAGAGCTGGTTACAATTTTTTCATTAGTGTGTGCACTAAGCTTAAATTTTTATAAAAAAATCATTGTTATATTTTGCCTGTGTCAAAATGGATTTTGATATTGAAAACCCATCAGTAGAGGCATTAGACAAATGTTCTAGGAAGGAGCTATTTTCCATTGCTAAAGCTCTAGAAATAAATGTAGCTCATTCGGCCGTAAAAAAGACCATACGAGACATGATCATCGTTCACTTTGTGGATGAAGACATGTTATCTGAAGATGAACTTGCCTCAGTCACACAACCGACTGATCCAAGTATGGAGCTCCAACTAAAGCTCAAACAAATGGAACTAGATGCCCAGAGAGAAAAAGAACGTGAGCTTAAACAGCTGGAGCTAGATAAAGAACGTGAGCTTAAACAGCTGGAGCTAGATAAAGAACGAGAGCTTAAACAGCTGGAGCTTGAAGCTCAGAGAGAGAAAGAAGAAAAAGAACGAGAGCTTAAACAGCTGGAGCTAAAAGCTCAGAGAGAGAAAGAAGAAAAAGATAGAGAGCTAACAATAAAGTTAAAACAAATGGAAATAACGGCCAATTTAGGAGCAATGGAAAATAGACTCACGGCTCCAGCCGGTCAGGGTTGCGATGCAATTAAATTTGCAAAAGTAATCCCTAAATTTACAGAAAAAGAGGTTGACCAATATTTTGCGCAGTTTGAGATAACTGCCCAAAATTTTAAAATTCCTGAAACTATGTGGTCCACCTTACTTCAACCAGCCTTGACCGGAAGGGCATCTGAAGTCTTTGTGTCCCTGAATGCGGAACAGCGCGGGGACTATAACCTAGTAAAATCATTAATACTTAAGGCTTATGAATGTGTCCCCGAAGCATACC